AAAACTAGAACTAGTACTTAATATTATACTAGTCAAAGTCCTCTTAAAGGCCTAACACTTCATTTCAAGTGCTATTCTGCGTTTCCGGCAAAGCACAACCCTCCAAAAAAGAAGTTAGTAAAACTAAAGAGAAAAGAATAAAGCAAAACTAAAAGAAACTAGAACTGGTACTTAACATTATATCAGTCAAAGTCTTTAAAGCTCAAGACTTCATTTCAAGTGACATTCCGTGAAGCACAACATTCCAAGAGCCATTACACATTTCTGGCAAAGCACAACCCAAAAAAGAAAAAAAAGAAGTTAGTAAAACTGAAAAGAAAAGAATAAAGCAACCAAAGAAACTAGAACTAGTACTTAATATTATACTAGTCAAAGCCCTCTTAAAGGCCGACACTTCATTCCAAGTGCTATTCTAGTTTCCGGCAAAGCACAACCCCCCAAAAAAAGAGGTAGTAAAACTGAAGAGAAAAGAATAAAAGAAACTAGAACTGGTACTTAAAATTATATCAGTCAAAGTTCTCTTAAGACCCGAGGCTTCATTTCAAGTGACATTCCGCGTTTCCGGTGAAGCACGAACCTAAAAAAGAAGAAAAGAAGTTAGTAAACCAAATAGATAAAGCAAAAACAAGAGAAACTAGCACTGGTGCTTATAATTATACCAGTTACAAGTCCCCTTAAATACTAAACCCGAAGCTCCTTTCCCAATATATTACCAGTACTATTTCACACTTCCGGCGAAGCATAGACATAAAAAAAAAAAAAGAGAAGTGTAAAACTGAAAAGAACGAGAAATGAAACAAAGGTACTTATCTCTTAAAGGCCCGAAGCTCCGGTGTTATTTCACGTTTCCGATGAAGCACAAGCCTAAAAAGGAAAAAATCAATAAAAAATATAGAAAACACAAAAAAAAAAAGTCAAAAAAACAGAAATACAACTCACTAGTGAACCTTCGTTATAGTGAAGATTCGACATAGTGAAGAATTTTTGAATTCTGGAATTATTAAACTTCAACTAAATATAGTAGTATTCTCTCGATCTAAGCTACAGTGAAGATTTTTTTTCTCAGCCCAGGGACCACTATATAACGAGAGTACCTTCTGAAGTTCTACGGTAAGATAGATGATCTTTGAACAAACAGTATCATGTGCTAAGCTATATTGCATGAGAAGGTTGACGTTAATTGGCTGGCTATCATGTGATAAACCCGTACTTTTCCGAAATTTGAGAAAGTCCCCCATGCTATAAAAAACTCCTATATATATTAAAGCTGCACCCTAACCCTAATCTAACTCAAATACAAAATATATAGGGTGTTATGATAACATGGCGTTATGAATATAATATTCCATATATTAAATAATAGATCACGAGTGTTAATTCCAATACAAATTAATTCAGTCTTAATTAGTGCTTGGAATAATCGAGCAAAACTTGACAGTCACGATTTACTTGATAAGGTCGGATACGTATAACAGTATATCAATATGTATAACGATATCAAACCTTGTATTTGACCATAAAGTTCTTTTGCTTGATTATGCCAAGCGCTAATCCTATTCATGTTCTACCACAAAATTCAGAAAGTCATTTTCCTGAAAAATCATAATACCGACTAAATTGACCAGCATTATAACTAATGCCTGCTAACTTTGTCGGTATTAGGGTCGTTTAAAGCGTTGTGCAATCACGTGACCTATAGCTAATCAACTTAAAAAGAATACAATGTCTAAACTTTATATTAGTGCACTAATAAAAAATGTCAGGAAGGCGATTTTACTTATAAGGCATGCTCTAACCCTAACCCCAAACTAGTCCTTACCCTAACTTTAATTAAATAGTCAAAAACATATGATGCACAACGCTTTAAACGTTCCTGGTATTAGGCCCTTTCGGAAATCTGTCTTTCGGGTTTTTGTGGTAAAACCAGCTAGTAAATTTTGCAACAAAATTTTTTATAATATATCATGACTTTAATTCAAATAAAACTAATTCAACCTTGACTATATATTGTGTATTACTGCAACAAGCACGTAAGTTTTGTAACAATTTTTTTATAGTAAATCATAATAGAAATCATGTCTGCTAATTCCCAACACAAAATAACTCAACCTTAATAACATATTGTAACAAATTTTTCACGGTAAATCATGATAGAAATGACGACTGTTATTCTAATACAAACTTAATCACATACTGTGTATCACCGCAATAGCGAGTAAGTTTTGTAACAAAATTTTTTATAGTAAATCACGACAATACAAACTAACTCAACCACATATTATGTGTCACCTCAATAGTTGGTAAGTTTTGTAATAAATTTTTTTTTACAGTAAATCCCAATACAAACTAACTCAACCTTAACCACATACTAGGTGCCATCGCAATAGCGAGTAGGTTTTGTACAAAATTTTTTATGATAGAAATCATACTATTAATCCAAATTCAACCAATCCTAACCACATACTGTGTACCACAATAGCGAGTAAGTTTTGTACAAAATTTTTTATAGTAAATCATGATAGAAGTCAAGACTGTTAATCCAAATACAAACTAATTCAACCTTAACCACACTGTGTGTCACCGCAATAGCGAGTAAGTTTGTACAGTAAATGATGGAAATCACGACTGCTAATTCCAATACAAACTAATTCAACTTTAACCACATACTGCAATAGCGAGTAAGTTTTGTAATAGAATTTTTTACAGTAAATAGTGATAGAAATCATGACTGTTAATTCCAATATAAACCAACCTCAACCTTAATTACTTATTGTGTATCACTGCAATAGCCGTATGATAGAAATCACGACTGTTAATTTCCTATTTATACAAGTCGACTTTTGCATCTTCCAAAATTCCCTGAACCTAAACCAGGTAGTATTTTTTTTTTTTTAAAAAAAAAAAAACAGTAGTATGTAAAAATTATAGATATAGTAAATTTAAGTAACGATATAAGTAAACCTATTGATCCTGTTGAAATTCCAGATATTGATAGTAATATATTTAATTTACATGTAATTAAACAAATTTATCACTTATTTTATATTAATATTTAGATGAATGAATTGGTGCAAAATTTATATAAAAATACAGTTATTCTGTATATTACATTTTCTATAGTTATATATTATATTTTTATTCACACATGTTATTATTCTGTATTTAAAATGCTTTATTGATAAATGAATAATTATAATTGGTTCAATACAAATATATATATCTGTTATCATAAAGAAAGGCTAAATAAATAAAGTTGAAACTGAAATTAGATTTAGGTTATAGTATTGGTTAGGTTTGGGCTCGGGTTCATCACAATATTATGATGAAGCGTTTATATCATGTGACCCGAATTTTGAATAGGCAACCTTGGCGATGCTAATCCTTCTAATAGATCATATTATTATATTGTACTGTATAATATAACAAATGTTATGCAAACGAAAGATATTAAAAGCATTCTAATTGCGGATGCTGATTCCAACGTTGACCGAATTCCCATTAGATTCTTAAGCAGGTAAATCTGAATAGCTAAATCCGGTTTAAATAAATATATCCAGATTATAATCATTATCTATTTTTAATTATTTGTCATCCCTATTACCATTTGGTCTAAAGACAAGCTTACAAAAAACCTGCTTAATTTTCAAGACCTTTATCTGCAAAATTGCTAAACATTAACATTAATCGAGTCACTTAGATTATTTTTACTATACTACCAGGATAATTCTAATCACAAATTACTATATATTTTTATTGTATTTTTGTCACGTCAATAGCGCTGGCGCTAGTTGCTCAATTTCGATGTTTACTTTTGCACATGTACGTTATATTTTGATATTTACGTGTATTACATTATAAGAAAATTTTCCTGGAGAAAAGTGATTGTTGTGAACTGAGTTCACAATGTGATTTTTTTAACATATGGGGACCCCCACAGCAAAAAGTGGCATTGGGCCAAAAAAATTTTTTTTAAAAAAAATGCAATTTCTCGAAGAATTAAAGTAATTGGCATATAATTTTTATAAAATTACAGAATCAAAATTTTTGGCCCAATGCATCTTTTTGCTGTGGGGGTTCCCATATGTAATTTTTATTGGCTTAAGTTTTGAATGTTTTTTGTGAAGCGAATTCTAACAATATCCTAAGCAAATATATCTGATATGAATTTCGTCTTTATGCTCTATATCATCTATTCATACATAGTTTAAATAGAGGTCGATGAATTCTTTGATTCAAAAAAAATAAGGAAAGGATTAGCATTGAGATAAAGCAGAGAAATAGAAAGAAGCTTAAATGTGAAATCCGATCCCAGGACTCAATTTGAAATATTCCTATTCTTCTGAGTAAAAATCATGTAAATGGAAACGAAATTTTCTTCGCGAAACGTGACGATTAGCAAAAAAAAAACTTTCAACGTGATGCATATTCAAGGTCCGCTGATGATTAGTAATCGTCGGATGCGTAAATATCGCTTCCATGTGTAATATCCACCAAGACTTTTACTTGAGTGTTTCAACGCTAATTAAATTACATCCATTTCTATTATGAATTATTTAGAGCTTTAGTAAATACTACGTATGTAATAATAATTATTAATATTTAAAGATATAGTTAATTTACTGTCTGCTATCCAATGATTTCAATTACATATAAGCACAATTAATGTTTTAAATGCAATGTTAGTAATAGAACTTATAAGCTGATATTGTTTAGTTATCTATACCAAATTTATGATTCTTGGACTTTGGCCTGCAAAATTCTTGGATAATCTAATCAAGTCACAAACTAATTCATGTATTTATTCAGTCAAAATAAACAGAGTTTTTTCTTTTATTAATTACACAAATATTAAATGTAATCATAAAATATACTTTTTTAATAATTAATTCTATAATAAACTATACTGACAGATCTCACACTATAAAAGAAAAATTAAACCTTTTTTACAATAAAATTCTAGTGACAAATGACGCTTTCTCTTAAAATTTCAAAATATCCCTTCATGCTCTTTTCTTAAATAATCTTCTTCGTTTCTTGCGAATTAGGTTACTTCCATTACGTGAGAATCTCCTTTTCCAATCATTATTCAAAAAATTGATTGATGGAACATTTTCAACAACCCAACGACATTGCCCGTACTCAATTATGTTTGTATTGCTAGCATTAGGTCCTTTACTACAGATTGATGTTGTAGGAGAATTTTCATCATATCTCTGTTTATTCGAAGCAGTATTTATTTGGCAAAACTCATTTATAAATCGATCATTAACCATTGTCCTTGGTGTGTCACTAGAAAATTGATTATTAATTATTGAATTCGACAATGCGTTTTGCTGGTTCTTTTGGACTTGCCATTCTTCGGTTGATTTGATAGAAACCATGCTTTCAGTTGCTAATGGCTGAATACTATCAGGAGGTTTATCATTTAATGATACATGATTAAATTGTGGTTTGGTGACGTGTTGGATAGTATTACATGGTGTTGTATTCATTTTCATTTCAGATTTTGGTAATATAGTAGCAGTTGATGAAGTATTTTGCTTGGTATAAAAAAGGATGTATGGTTTATCTCTAAGAGTAGTTTCTAAAAGAACCTATAGTAAAAATAAATAAAAAGATAATCCAATAAATTACTAAAAAAAAAAGGTAATAGTCATATAATATAAACTAGTGATATCTTTCATACGTTTGTCGTCGCGCTATCATTAAATTTAACCCAACCAGAGGCAGTTTTGGCATAAGCGTAATAATGACCGCTTCGTGGTGAACTTCCAACATGAACAATTGATGCAGAAAGTCGGTATCGTGCGTCTTCTCCCGGATGCACACAAAATTCAGACATATCCAAAATTTCGTTATAACTCATATGATCGTTAACTTTGACACAACGTTGTAAGCCTCGATCGTATGAGAAACGCTTCACTTGAATGATCAAAATTTCAGGTAAACGAGTTAAATTGCATTTTTGTGTGCAAATATTATTATTACATCTAAAAAAACACAAATTCAAATATAATAGTTATATTAGATTTATTATATAAAGAAAATAAACACCAGATTTCTAAATTTCTAAATTTTACTTGTCGCATTTGTAATCATGAAGTGGATAAGGACCGGCCCAATCTCGAACACTGTCTATAAGCATTTTTCCTAATCCAACTTGAATAGCTTGCTCCTGCTTGTAAGTAATAGACTTATGCGAACATATTGTGCAAATGACCTGAATAATTATTATTAAAGAAATTCTAATTTATAAAAAATGATGGAATTTTTAAAGTAGGAAAATTTAAAGTATTATGACAAACCTCATTACGCCAGGTTGTTTTAAATACCCTATCAAAAAAAGCAGTTGTAGTTTGTAAAGAATTGCAACAGCGTTCAATTTGATTGGAGATTAATCCACAGAGGAATAGAAAAGCATCATTTTGATGGTAAAAATCCGCACATGGGTCAATAACTAAGAAAATTAAAATTTAAAGAATCAATAAGATTTATTTTTCAATTTAATATCTAAATCAAATTCATCTTACCTTTAAGATTACGATGCAAGTCCCTATTTCTTATCATATATCTTGCTTTTAATGCACACATTCGTAAAATAGACAACTCTCTTAATCCGCAGAAACCAGAACATGTACCTAAACCACAATAAAGATCAATGTTAGCTGGATTGTTTAGGTTCAAAACATAAACGATATTGTCTAATAAAAAAAAAAGACATACATCTAAAATTACGCTCTAAAAAATTTGCAAACGGTTGGGTGTGCATAAGACATTGTAATGTAGAATTAATAAAACAATCCACGCCAGTATTATTACATAAACCAACGCCTTTTGATGGTGGTGCTAAAGGGGAAATAGAAATAGCCAAATTCGCTTGAGAACAAGAGTTACGATTTATTCGAGCATGTAAAGATGACCGGTGATAAAATTTCGAATTATTGTATTTATTAGACTTCATGATGAATTCTAAGATAAAATTTTCAAAATCGTAAATTTCAGATTAAGTTATTTAATATATATGCATTTTATGATCTGATAAATTTTTTTTGAGAAAAACAAACTGATGAGGGAAATTTTATGTCATGTGTGCATTTATTCTCCGATCACTGAATTTGATTTACGTACCAGTACGTAGTTATTTTTATATTTAATTACATATATAACTGATGATTATTTAAAAATGTAAATCGTAAAGATCCAAAAATGACAATGACTTATGATTTCGAGACTGATTTATTTGTGGCCACCGGCCGGTAAAAGAATGGTTGGATAAAAGAAATCCATCTTCCCTTTTTTTTTTTTTTTTTTTTTTTTTTTTTTTTTTTTTTTTTTTTTTTTTTTTTTTTTTTCTGCCACCCGCTGCCCCACACTTTCGGACTGGCATCAGTCTTACTCCCTTCGTCGCCCCACACCACCTG